GTGGCTTGGTTGGAGACTAATCATTCGAAACAAAATGCCATAATAATTAAGAATATTTTCGCCAGATAATATTCATATCATATTTGCATGTACCATTTATCAGAAATAAATACATTTGGTAGTTGATTTATAGCAGAGGGTTAAGGACTTTTCAATTATTCAAAATGTTACCTTGAAGAAATTAAACTGAATTCTGTCAGAAAAAAATCAGTGCCTTATTTCCGTATTGCAAGGATACTGCAGATCCTTCTTTCATTACTTGTTCACTTACCAGGAGTATCACGTTCAAGATTTCTAGAGGCTGTTCTAGATTACTCGAAAAAATTTAAAAAATGAGTTAAACTGCCTTGGTGATGATGAGTATATATTTTCTCGACTGAATACCAAACACAAAGGAAAAGTAAGCTTTAAATAAATATCTTATCAAAAGCATGGCTTATGTCATACATTTGATAGAAAAATACCTGATCGTACTTTCTACTATCTCTAATTAAAGTCGAGACAAGGTTAAACGACAACATTGCATGAAAGTGATATGATGAAGACGATGTAAGTAATTTCAAGTGTGTTAGATGAAAGTGATGATTCATTTCCGTCTGTTTTTTTCTGTACAAAAATCTAACTGAAGCAATTAAAAAAGAAACGCCGCAAGGCACATTCTTCGTGCGAAAATATCGATTTTGAAGCAGAATCAGGCTGAATGAAAAATTAAAGAATAAGGAGTCAAGTGAATTCTCACTTTTCTGTGACTTCACGATTGCCTCGAAAATCTAAACAGATCGTTTGTTAAGTTGCTTTCTAGCCTCATCTTCCTCGTTGTAGGAGTTTGACTATCCCAATTAGAATTAACCAATGGAGGAAATACTATGAGATCATTCCGGAGAATTAATCGTTGCAAACCTCACGGAGGTCGTAGTATTAGCCTTGAAGTTGGCATGATTAGGTATCATAAATAATTGGGGAATCTGGAGGCAAACACTTTATTTTAAGAAGAAAAAAAGTATCTAAATGCCTCATGCTGTAATTGCATCTTTTAGACGCAAAATACGTGGTGCACGGAATTTCATCTTCTACGGACCGCCCACCTTTCCTTAGTTTGTACAGGTACTTCTGGCCAGTTGTGAGTTGGCGCCTGCTGTGGCCACAAACGCTTCTGGAGAGAGTCTGACTGTAGCGAGTGCAAATCCCTCAGCCGTCCTCTCATCCTCAGTCACAATTCTCTACTTTCAACCTTGGGAGGCAGCCCAAGTTTGTATGATCTCTGCCTCGATTGACATCTGATTCCAATATTCCGTAGTTACCTCTCAAATCCTTGTATATATATA